AGCGTTTTGATTGGACGAACATTTCTTGATCCTACGCCTTCCACAGAATATATAAATACAGACAAATACGTTTAGACCACTTAACTTAATAATTGCTATCGGGATGTGAAGAGACTTTCAACCAGCATAACAAAAAATGTTTCTGAAGACAATCACCTATTGCACCTTTAAAACAAGGTTTGTCTATATATTCTTAAGGGATTTGAACGAATAGCCAAATAGCTATATGGAATCAAATCAAAAATCAATTGAATTAATGTAGAACCTACTGTATTGTCTATGAAGCAAAAAAGCTCAAATAAACTAGACAACAAGATGATCAACATTTTTATATTTATATTTCTTTGTAGATGGATATACAACATTTTTTTTTCATGTCACATGGGAGTAGGTCTGCAAATGAGCAGCAGTCAGGTGAGAACAGAACATGGACAGCCTCTCGCACAGTACCACCGCGTTCCCAACATTGATTGCAGTCATTGTGCCCTTAAGTATATTTCACTTTTTTTATTTTCAAAGGATAAACACATGAATGTTCTGACGTTATTGACACTCAACAAGAAATTATTGTCTTTCACACTCAAGTGAACTAGAATTCTTTTTTGGTTTCTCAGAAAAGTCAGTGCAAAAAGAGAGTGAAGTCAAGGCAGAGCACATTGAAGAAAGCACAGTAGAGAAAAGGCAAGATCATGATCCAGGTAAGAAAGTGAACAGAGTTGGTTTGGATAAAGTGTCTTGTAAGTTAAAAAATCCAAATGATGTTAATATTTCTAAGTTACCTTTTACATGATTGTCACAGTACAGGGACAGAGAAAGCATGAAGCAGAAGAAGACACGAGTCAGGAGAGAGATGGATACATATGCAGAGAAGCAAGTTTAAAGTTATGTTCTTTCTTGTTTAAATTGTTCTGTTTGTACTTGAGCATAGAGGTTTGTGCTAAATGCAAACAGTAAAATGTTGTATGTACAGTGAACAGGTGTGTGTGACTGAGTGTGTGCGAGTGAGAGAGATCAGGAAGACTTGTATTTGGCTTATTCAGAACTCAAAATGTTATACCCATTTATGTAATACAATGGAAAACTGGAATAAGTTTTAATATACCACCATATGTAAATCAAGCTTTTTTAAATTATTATTATTATTATACCCTTAATGGGGGCTGAGCACCCCTAAAATGAAAATCCTACAATCACCCCTGGTTTGGTTAATATCATTGCTGTTAAAATAAGTTACAGACGCTTCGAGTCCACATGAAGTTTGGTCAAAATTATATGCAACGTGAAGCCATTCTGTAGTAGAGTTTGTTCTACATGCCACTATTTCTCATACTGTACTAGAGTCAGAGTTTATTTAAATAATTCTTCAGTAGAGGGCACCATGATATCAGCTTGTCAAACAGGCTTACTTAAGCACACTGAGCTTAGAATATCCATTTATCTCAATTGTGTTTGCTTGGTTAGCACAGATAAACAACAGTTTTTGATACTATCACTTGGGCTGTATTATCTGATCAATCACGTGATGACGATGCTAATAGGCTGATGGAGCCAAAAAATGGGCACTGTATCTTATCTAGCAAAGAGCCTTGGCATGAAAGGCACCAGACTGGTTCATTTCATACTTTTAAGATCTATCAAAACAAAATTGGGCACTGCTAAAAACATGTGACTGGTCTTTGTGTGAATGTCCACAAAACTGGAAGACTTTCTGAATATAGATATATATATGCCACCTAAGAAATATCTATATCTAATATTTATCACATATGCAAGTGCTTCCATCTTCTGGTTTTTTATATGAATAACCTATTTGATCTCAACATCTATGCAATTCTAATATATTAAATAATATAAATAAACATTCATGAACATTTATTTAATGTTTTTGAAACAATATAGTCTTGAAAAATACCACTGTAAAACATTGTTTAGAAAAAGACCTCAACAGTACACGCCAACAAAACAAAACAAAAACTTCCGCTTATGTCCTGCTAAAGCATGCATTTAAAGGGGTCATATGATGCGATTTCAATTTTTCCTTTCTCTTTGGAGTGTTACAAGCTCTTGGTGCATCAAGAAGATCTGTAAAGTTGCAAAAACGAAAGTCTCAAATCTAAAGAGATACTTTTTTATAAAAGTTAAGAGTCAACCACGCCTACCTAAAACGGCTCGTTCTAACACGCCCCCAACATATCTACGTCACGATGTGGGAAGATTTGCATAACACCGCCCAAATGTTCACGCAAAGAAAGGAGGAGTAACTTATTTTCGCTGTAGTATTGTTTTTGCCGCAGCCGCCATGTCGTGAAGTGTTTCGTTGTGAAAGTGAAACTACTTTGGTTGGCCTTCCAAAAGAGGACAATATCCGCTTCGTCATGCCTGGAGCTGATCCGTGCTGGTCGCTGAGGAAATACATCAACTTCGCGCTGTGGATCTCTGGATCGGCTTTCACCGTGGACGAAGAGGAGTCCAGCCCGGGGTCGTCACATGTAGCAAGCCCGCCGGACGCTCCTTCGTCGAATCTGCCGGCCACGCCATTCTCAAGCCCGCCCGCCTCCGCTCACTCTAGGCCACGGTGTGTGACGCTGTTTCGTTGTGAAAGCGAAACTACTTTGTTTGGCCTTCCAAAAGAGGACACGACTAGAAATCAGTGGTTAAGTTGTATTTACAACACTGTTTCAGAACAGTTTAACCCAAATATTCAGATGTGTGCAGCGCATTTTATGGAGGACTGTTTCCTGATCCTGGGAGAGTAGACTACAATGCTGGCTGTTCTGACTCATAGACTGTAAGTACGTTTTTTATATTTAAAGAATTTGCCACTGGTGATTCAAACGCATGTTTTTTGAGCAGTGTAGAGTAGCACTTGTTTGTCATTTCTCCGATCACAAATGCAGACATGGTTTTATGTTTACGCGGCGCGATGCAACGCAGCGCGTAAAAAGACAGTATAAGTCATTATAATCCGTAATTATGTCCCCACTGGATGCAACAAATGCCTCGTTTATAATGAGTTTTATTGGTTTTGTCTCGTCGCTCCGGCCGGGAGCCCGGGACTGTGTTTTTTTAACCTTAAACCGCATAAACACATTTTATTACACCAAATACACAAAACAATGTTCTTTTAAGCAGCATCATATGACCCCTTTAAGTCAGTCACTGATAAAATCACATGCCACACTTAATTGTGTCTCCCACCACAGAGTACACCAGTGGCTCTCAATTCCGTTCCAACACCACCCCCCACCCTCCCCCTAAACAATACCTTAAACCTCAATACCTTCTTATGCACTGCAGAATTTTTGTCTACGTTTGATGGCATTGGAGAGTGTAGAGTAATTGGCATTTCCATGTATGGTCTAAAACACAGCTACCCTTATATTTTGCAGCAGAACTGTAATTTTTTCGTAAGTTTTGTCATCTTTGCAGGAATGTAATATGAAGATTGTACAAAGTAACATATGTATCTTCAGCAATAGTGTGAAAGTGATTTTACTGCAAAGGTTACTTGTTTTTTGATATGCAGGTATACAAGAGTCTGTTAGTGTGTGGACTGTCATTCTTGGGATTATAACCACACATTCTGCGTATGCTCCATTTTAAGGAAAACCATAATGTTTCTTTATTTATAGACACATTTCTGTGGTACGTTTTTACATAAATGTAAATTACTTGTTATATGTCAGAGCACAATATCACCGACAACTCATGACAAAAAAATGTTTTCTGTAAATTCATTGTTTTTAACATAATTTTTATTGTTGGTAGACTGACCGACTAATGATCTGTTTATGTTCATTTTTCTTAAAAGTTATTAGCAAATGTGTTGGTTTATATGAAATGTTATGCATAACAAAAAGAGAGCTTCTCTGGAGTGTACAAAGAGTTTGTCAAATTCATAAATTTAATTTACCAATTTGCAACATCCTAAAAGAAAAAATATGACCTGCATAGAAAGTTTATTATATTTTATAAAACATAAATATATATAACACATAAATATTTCAATATAAATAAAATATATATCATATCAATATATTTCTTATCAATAACAAAGAATGATACATTATTTACAAAAATTTACAGATAGCACTATAAAACAATGTCCGATGTTAGTAATGATCGACCATAAATAACTTTGTACCTTAAAAAGGCTTCCATACATTTGATTGCTGCATCATCTACTTCTGGGTCAAACTTGTTTGCCAAAAGATGGTGTTGCTGTACAATCCATTTCAAGTCCCCAGCTCCATAGACACACACTGCCCGTCTGTGCATCCCAGTGCATGGTGGGTAGGGAGCCCCACTCTTTAGATCTCCTTCATGGTAGCGCCACTTCACCAGACGAGCAATTGCATTCATGTCCGATTGTTCATACTTGATGTTTGGAGGATTAGATCCTGGAACTGAAGGCATCCTCTGTAATGTAGCCCACATGTGCTCATCTGGACTGTACGTGTCTTTCTCCCATTCCATGAAATCTTGAATCTCTTTGCTTTTGAAGATATGCTCCACAAACTCTCTTGAAACCACAAAGTAAGCATTTCCTGAGAACATTGGGGTCTTTATTGGTGGAGGCGACTTTTTAACATCTGTCCGAGTCACAACGTTCTTAACGTCGTGATGATATTGCCAGCGGCCCTTTTTGGCCTCTACGGTCTCAGACTCCAAACTGTTCTTTCCATTCAGGAGTTTTAGAGACTGAACCATTTCTGCATTGGTTTTAATGGGGAAATCAGTGCCACATGTGTTGAGCAGATACTTCCACTGGACAGGTGACTTGAGCAGATCCTGCATGCAGTTGATGTCCGCTTGAACTCGAGACCAAGAGGCGTAGATCACATGCTCCAGTTTGCTGGCCACAAACACATTGGTCAGGCAGGACGTAATGGCCCTTACTGCTTCTTTAAAGATCTCAGGAGACTTCTGGTCCACGTGAACACAGTACACATTGTGAGGAGTGTAAATGGCTCTCAGGAGCCTTTCAAACATCTCGATCTTCTCATGTATCACCATGGAGTAAGCAATGGGGAAATCTTTCTCCTCTTTACTGAGAGAAACCGTCAGAAATCCTCTGTCTCGGAGGTAGGATGGACAATCCTTGGTTGCGTTGAGGTAGAATGACTCTGATAGCAAAGTTTTTCTTTTTTTAGAGGCCAGGAGCTTCCTGAAAACATCCTTGTCCACTCCATCCAGGTCTCCTTGGATAATAGCAGAACAAGCCTGTAGTTCTCCAACATCCTGCTTTAGTGAGTGATTCAAGACCTCACCTTCCTTGTGAGGGCAATTTGTCCTTTGTCCAGGATAATTCAGCACAAGGACAGACATGGTTACAGTCACGGAAAGGATGGAGATTATTTTCATATTGCTCTGATTATTAAATCCCATGTTGAGTTAAGATTATAACCTGCCAGAAACAAGTACCAGGAGAGGAAACCTTTGTCAGTAAGGTATGAAACAGCCTCTCTTGTTCACATACCAGAAGCATGTGGCAGGAACTGAAAGATAGCGAATCATATTCAAAGGGGAAGGGCTGACCTCTGCAAAAATGCATAATAATTATTACACATGAGAGGTGTGGCTGTCATCTTCCTGGAGGGTGTGATTGTCTGATACCATGGTCAGTAAGAGCATTAAATAAAAAAGTTTGTAAGCTTTGTATACCAGAGATGTTTATGGGAAAGAAAAAAAAACTTTTTTTAATATTAAGAAAGATTTAAAGTAACAAATATCATGTCATGGATTTTCAAACTAAGGGTTGCCTCTTTGAGCAAGCATCTTTTGGTTACCATATCTGTAGCTGTTTTCGCACAAGTGTTTCATTTAAAGGGATAGTTCACCCAAAAATGAAATACTTATAGTTCACTTATTGAGTGAACTATCCCTTTAAAGTATGTGTTAAGTTTGTAAGTTTAGAACCTTTTGCCACTCTTTTAGGTCACCAGTATAGACTCTGTTTGCAGTTTTCATTGTGTATATAAGCCGATGCTGCCCAAGTAAAGTTTTCAGTTTTTACATCCTCACTTTAAACCACAAAACTAGTAATGAATATTTCAGCCAGGTTAAAAAGAAAGCGTGATGAGAAAGATGAGGGAGAGAGTGTGTGCACCTGTAAAACAACCAGTGTTTCCAATGTCAGAAACTAAAGGAATGTTGCTGAACTTGAAAAGGGCACTATGGATAGTCAGCTGTATATTGCTTCTACTTTTTCGTATCTTTGCATGATCATACTTGTGCTT